ATATCCATCCAATTGACCCAATGAATTCAAGGAGCCTTACTCGAGTTAGCCCACCAAAACTTCGCAATAGCCCCATCAATATCGTTGCAAAGCCGAGCAAGGAGGCAGAATACATTCATTGGGTAAGTGGGCACGGCTTGAACAACAGCCTTAATCAGTACTTCCCTCCTTGCCTGCGATAAAAATTTGTTCTTCCAGCCCTGGATCTTGGATAACACTTTATCCTTAATGTAGGACAGAGTAGCCGACTTGGCCTTGCCCCACACCATCGGAATACCAAGGTAAGTCCTAGGGTCATCCAACCTTGACATATTCAAGATTGTACACAATTCCTCCTGGACTTCTCTGGGTGTATTCGCACTAAAATACACCACCGACTTCTGCATACGTTACCTCCTGCCCCGAAGCAAGACAATAAGCCTTCAGGAGGCAGTCCGTGTTCTCACAATTTTCCTTTGTGGCTGATAAGAAGATCAAAGTATCATCCGCAAAGAGGAGGTGGGATAGTGTCGCTGGACTTGCTCTGAGAGAAGCCTATGGCTTTTCATTTGGAATTCTAGGGAGATCCTTTTCCTGATGCACAACACATGTGCACATCCTAAGCATCTAGGCTTACTGAGGACACTGTGCACATTTGCGGAAGGAGAGAGCCGTGTGGGCTCTGGGAGCAAGGTCATCTAAAGCTGAAATGAGAATGGGTGTAGTTGCTAAGGTTTTGCAATAAAATAGTAAAATATTCAATTTTTGTCGATTATAAACCGTCAAAATACTAAAATAATAACCGCCAGAAACTAGAATAATAAAATAGTCAATTTCTGTCGGTTATAACCGTCATAATATGTTAAAAATATTTATAAAAATAAAGAATTCAAATATACTGGCGGTTGCATCCGACACTAAATATCCGTCAAATATTTATGTCGGATATAACCGATAGGATTTCATTGTTATTCGATACTAATTGAATGATGTGTCAGGTAATCCTCTATCCTACATAATGGCTTATTAAACCGCCACCATCATCCGACACCTAAAGCTAATATTGTAGTAGTGACACCTATTATAAACATCTATCAGATTAATGTAATCAGACTGAATAATGTTGTTTTCTAAACGTTAAAAAGAAACGAAACAGAAAGTGGTATGCTAGTAATCCTTCTCATGTAACAAAAAAAAAAAAAAACCCAACTTCTGGGTCATTATTGTACTTGTGTTATATGCATCAAATTATAACTAAGATGGTACCAAAAGCATATTTGGTGAAAAAAAAAAACCCTGAGGAAATTTAAAAACAAAATAAGAAAATGAAAGAGAAATGGTAAAGCTTTATATATGAAATAAAAAGGAAATTGTTATTGACACTCTAAAATTCTTATTTTGCTCTCCAAACTTTCTATATTAGAAAGTAAAATACACTTGTGAAGTGTATAAAATGAGATTTTTGGAATACCAATAACAGTTCCCAATAAAAAAAGGACAAACCTGTTCTGCTCAAACTATCTGAGTATACTGAAAGTCGCTCACGTCTTGAATGATGTTTTGGAGAATCTGTTTGTGCACCCCTAACTTGTATACAATTTCTTAGTTGTGTATTCCATGATGGCTTGGAATCATCCAAGGCATCACACAAATCTACAAGCTTCTGCTCAGACTTTTGCTGGAGGCATGATGGATCATCTTGTTTAATCCAGATCGCAGTCTGAACTTTTCGAGCAATGAGTTTCCAGCACATTGCTGAAGTCAGATTCATTAATTGCTCCCAAATTATAGGATAACTTTTATCCTTTCTATAAGCAGGTGGAGCTGAATAGACAAAGTACCCATCAGATCGCAAAAGGCTATTCACTTCTTTTAGTAAAATGCCATCTGCACGAAACAAATTACAACAAAACACACAATAAGTAAATTCCATGGAAATATATCAATTTTTAAAAATATACTAACAGGATTAACATTGTAGCTTATAAACCCTCTAATGGTCAAATTAGCGTCACCAAATCTAGCAAATTGCTTAGTTATACCTCTCATGTCATAAAAAAAGGTCGTACCCAGTGCACAAGGCTCCCGCTTTACGCAGGGTTTGGGAGAGGTGAATGTAGGCTAGCCTTACCCCCATTTATGGAGAGGCTGCTCCCAAGTCTCGAACCCGAGACCTACCGCTCATGGGCGAAGACACTTGCCATCGCACCAAGTGCGACATCTTTCTCATGTCATTTTGATAAGGAGTGGAGACCGAGATGTCAATGGGTTTTGCTTTTGGCGGCTGTATGAACTCTTGACAAGTGTTTAATCCATTTATGGGTGATCTGTTAACTCAAAATTAAATCACCAGGCTGCAAAAAATTCAAATGAACAAATTTAGAAGCCGAAATCTAGCTATTGAACTTATAGACAACAACTAAAAACACTAATATACACCAAGTTTAGGATGATAAAATACTGTTTTCATGCCAATCAACTCGACACCTAGAGCAGCGAACCATCTCAAAAGAGCTAGAGGGATATGGCATTTGTTTTTGTTGCTATAGCAGAAATCATTGCACCAATGCCTCGCTCTAAAGCAAAGTGAATTTGATTCTCGTGACCATCTTTTGGAGCAAAGGACATTGTTTGTATATCCAAGGCGAGAAGAAAAGCAGAAAAGCTGGCAACCCCACAACCGACATCCAAGACTTGACTAACCCCTGCAGAACATAGATCGCCTGTTCCATTTGTTATCATATCTCTCAATCTGCAAAAAACACAAAAGTTAATGAACTAAATGAAAGGGACATCTGCACATGACAGCAAAAAACATCAGATCCAAAATTCTCCAACATTCTAACCTTCGTAATAACAAAATAACCTGATTCAAACATTTCTCAAACACCACTTCAATTTTCAATTGTAAGAATTTTTTCTCACAAAATATTCCTAAGTGAATTTCATGTTAGGTGAATTCACCGAATTGACTTGATTTGTCAATTTTGTATTATTTTCTTAGATCCTGATTTGAGAGTCGCACTTGTCTGGAGTAAAACATAGGTTATGTTTGGTACACTCAAGTCAATTAAGAAATAATCATACACCTAAATGTCATATGCTAAATTCCAGCGTGTAGGACATGAAAGACATTGACAACAAAAGACGGAAAACATATTGGTTACAGATACCTTTGAATATACTCAGTTGCGCCATGTTTAAAATGGGTACCGCCACCAGGGAACCACCAGAGTTGATCCTTTGGATGCACCCAATTTTGTCCTCCTTTGACTTCAGCAAGATGTGTATGATTCACGTTACTTCGCCACACATGTAGGACTGGTTTGGTATTGCTGTGCTTTGAATCACCTCAGTACTAAACCAAGCCATAATCCCTACTGGTTGGCCATCTTATGGATCTCTTATAATCTTTTGGTGGTGGAACCAAGCAAAACAAGCGTTTTTCAATCGGAGGGCAGTGCCTCTCTAGTTCTTCTCTTCGATTAGTGTCCAAGCTTGGCAGCAAAATTTTCACATAAGAAACATCATGGCAAGGGATATACTCATTGAAATTCAATGGGCACACATCCATACCCGTCTCTGGGATCAAAGGTGGTGCTTTTCTGAAAGTAAGAGCAATTTTATTCGTAATTGTTGAAGTACCTGCAACACCAAGTATCCCAAGTAGATTGACGGGCTGGTTTGGTATTGCTGTTCTTGAAAAAAAGCTGTTGTGAGAATAAACGGCTGTGTTGTGAGAATAAGCGGCTGTGAAATAAATCAGCAGAGTGTTTGGTAAACTTTTTTGTAAAAGTGCTTTTGGAAAAAAAAAACAGTCTGATAGTGAGTCTTTTCATTAAAGGAGCACTGTAGCTCCGTGTGCTTTGAAAAAAAACCAGTTTTCCAAAGCTGCAAATAGCAGCTTCAGCTTTTTCCTTTGATTTCAGCTTATTCTCATAGCAGCTTCCAAAATAAGCTTTTTTTTTTTCAGTTTACCAAACATCTAAAACCCTCACAGCTTTTTTTCATGGGTGTTTTTTTTTTTAAGCACCTCACTCCCAAACCACCCCTAAAATTTCAAGGACTAATAGCATAAAGAAACAAATATCTTTAGTTTAAAACTAGATACCACGTTTGAAATTACATTTCAAACAATATTTGAAATGTCAATACCACTTACCACTGACAATCAAATGTTTTCACCATATATTTGGGAAACTGGCTAAAATGATCCGGGATCAAATCCAATTGTTGAACTAATCAAAATTAGATAGCGAAATTTAACATGCTGTAACATTGTATACATCAATTGCCAGAAAACATTAACTTCGCAATCCAAATTAAACATGTTGTAGCATTGTGTACATCAATTGCCAGAAAACATAAATAGAGAACAAAAAAAAGCCTATAAATAGATGTTAGCTTCTTAGGCCAGCTACCATGAGTGTATCTCTAGGGTAAGCTTAAGGCCATATTGTTGTAAATAAGCTTTTCCTTAATTTAAGGGAAGTGACTGATTAGTGTAAATTAGATAAAGCTTTTCCTTGATATAAGGAAGATGACTGATTGGGTTAGGTAGGTGAGCTCTAGTTGGCTGTGATAGACAGCCTTCTTTTCTTCCTTCTAGTTAGCTGCTTGCAGCAGCTAACTACCCGGACATCTCCTCCCTCTCTTCTTTCATATATACCTTGTCACTTGTACATTTGAATATATGAAAAATACATTGAAACTCAAAACTAGAAAATGTACATGGTATCAGAGCAGGTACTTCTGTAACCTATCTTTACCATTCTTGCTGTTGCATTATCTCTTTCAAACTTTGAGTCATGGCGGAAGAAAGCTCAGTAAACCGCGATGAGGAAACTGAGCATAGCCTCTCCCCAAATTTCTCAGACATTGAGGTTAACACCAATCAACGTCTATGTTCAGTTCTCTTGAACGAGTTCAATTATCTTCCTTGGTCCCGAGCTATTTCTCTTGCTCTCGGAGGCATAAGGAAATTAGGGTTTGTCAATGGAAGCGTGGAAGCTCCNTTTCCATATTAACAAAAGACCAATGACTCACCAACACGTTCTTTGGGAGCTTCCTCACTCATAGTAGAGTTTGATCTCGAAAAGTTACGCTTTAAACTGGTGGTCTGGAACGTTTCCTTGGGTGTGACCGTCAGCTTTTGAATAGGACTTTGCAGCTCTGGAACTTTAAGGCTTTCAGAGTTCCACCTGCGCCTTTTTATAGGCTCATTGCTTCCAACTGCTGCTTGATCTGCAAGGCAATTTATCCAATGAAAGGGCCACAACAATACTTGATTATTTAAAGGGAATGGAAAGGAAAGAAAAAAAAAAACTGAAGTGCAGAACCCAGCAAAATATCATTTGGAACTACTACAAGATTTATGTCAACGAGGATACAGCAAGCAAAGGCAAGAATATGCACAAAACAGAAAGCAAAAATAAAAACTCTGGATGTAAATAGAAAGTGGCTATAGTCCTCTTACTGAATAATTAAAATACTGACCATCAAACCTTGATTTCTAAAGGAAAATCAATGTAATTTTAGAAACTGATTATAGTCCTCAAGATTAGTTGCTATACACAAACTGGTACATTCCTCTTATATACTAAGAATGCCTCTTACTTATTCCCCAACACACTTTCGAAACAGTAATTCAAGTTCCTATAAAACATTGATGTACACCCCCATCTTTCTAGGTGATATATTCCAACATCCTACATTTTTGTTCTTTTTAAAAATATGTAATCCAATACCCTAGTTATTAAATTCAAAAATAGCTAGACAAATTCATTAAACGTCATCACTGGGTTTCATCAATCCCTCATCTTGAAGTTTAATTTGTTCTCTGAAATAAGTGATACAATTCATCAGTTAATTATACACATGCAATTATTGCAAGCATGCAACGTAATATCGTACATACTCCATCGGTAGAATAAAAAAAAAAAGAAAAGGAAATAATCAGAAGCTGATGGCAATTACATATGTTGCCCAAATGAAATGCAGAAACTTCACGCAATCCAACTCAAGCAGGAGTTCTCATAGTAACTTAGTGATGTGACAGTTGGGTGGAAAAATATAAATAATCAAGAAACTCCAGCTAGAATGCTCACCATTAAGCTTTCTTTTCTCAGCAGGTGGGGCAGTATGATTCTTGATCTCAATATTTTCATCCATTTTGTCCAGGGAAATATCATCTCCCACAATATCAACATGACTTTCCTCCTTTACAATGGGTACATCATTTTTCTCACACATCTCTCCCACATCGTCAGAATTATACTTTGAATCAATTTGTTTACTGTCCAGCACATCTTCTTCCATAGAATCATCTCCAGAACTTCTCTCTAAATTTAATTTTTCTGAGTACCCCACATCAGCACTATCATTTTTCTTGCTTATGTCTGCATTTGTATCATTGTTGTCAACTTTCTCTCCAACAGAAGCTTTGTCCTGGTGTGGCTCTTCAACATCCAGTGGATGTGAATCACCACTGACTGGGACAACAGTGCTGGATGATGGGTCCACCATCTCCGGGTTAATATCTAATTCTAATTTGACATGATCAGCAATTATATTATCCTTTAGTTCAATCTTTTCATTAATTGACACAGAATCAGTAGAAATAGAATCATATTTTACTTCATACCCTAAATGGCTGACCTCAGATACCTGGTAGTTTGGAGCTGAAGAGTTGACCATGACATCCTTGTCTGTAGGCTCTAAACTCTCTTTCTCCAGATGGGGCTTTGAATCCCCATCCTCCAGCTGGGCCTTAGGATCAACATTCTCCAGCTGGGGCTTTGGATTCTCATTCTCCAGCTGGGGCTCTGGATCCTCATTCTCCAGGTCAGGCCTTGGATCCTCATTCTTACAATACGGTTCTGGATCCTCATGCACCACCTGAGGCTTTGGATCCTCATTCTCTACTATGGGCTTTGGATCCTCATTCTCCACTACGGGCTTTGGATCCTCATTCTCTACTAGGGACTTTGGAACCTCATTGTCAAATAGGGGCTGTGAATTCCCAATTCCCTTATTAGCTTCAGTGTTCTGTGAATTATCACCAACAAATGCTGCCTCAGACACCTGAGTCTCAGTGACCCTAACACTGGTTTCCACAATAGTTGATTGAACAACCAGCTCCTCTTCAGCTATGGCACCAGCATCTTTATCAACCAGAACATAACCTTCTTGAATACCCCCTAGATCCAAGTCTGTAGCACTGGCATTAACATCAACCTGAACCGGCAAATCAACTTTTCCAGTCCTTTTACGTCCACCAGAACCAGTGCTTCTAGGTGTTTTAGCAAGAACTGCAATTGGCTCTACAACTTTATCACCATAAAGTCCATTATCCTGGGTCGAAGCATTTTCCCTTTCAATTCGTATTGCTTCATCCAACCGTTTTACCAAATCATCCTTCAAACCCTTGGTTGTCAAACTTCGCTTCTTAAGCTCCTCTTTTAATTCTGTAACCTTCAAAAGGTTGATTGGTCGGTCGCCAAGAATCGGATATTGATATGACATCTTCCTACTAAAAACGCAATTGAACCCTGATTTAAGAAAAATACATTTAAAAAATCAATAACGCTACCAAAATCAGCAACAAAAGTGAAGCACACAACAACAAATAAAAGGACCATGGTAATACATAAACAATGCAGCTACCAAATGCCAATATGGAAGTAATCCCTGTTTCAAAGGTCAGTCAAACACTGCTTCTATTTAACAAAGCTAACATAAATAACAAGACACGTCCTGTACATCTCAGAAACTGTGCCTACCATATGTTGTTTCCTGTTTAATAACTATGCATATTCTTTTACAATTGAGCCATTAAGAAAAGAAAAAAAAATGAAAATTCTCCATAAAATAAAAAATAAAAATAAAAACATTTGATAATTTTATAAAAAAGAATGACAAAAGATAATATATGTGACTTATTCCAATCAAATAATACGAAGTAAATGAAACTGACTTTGACCTGTATAGTAAAAATGATAGTAAACTACCTCAGTCGAATAAACTTCGGGTTGGGCAAAAACATAAAAATAACAATAGTCCCAGAATATGCAGAAATGCTTCCATAAAAATATACACAAAGAACGAAGGATAACGTAGTAAAAATTAATAATGCAATTTCGGCAATCATCTGAAAATTTCGTGCAAATCATCAAATCGAACGAAACAAAAGGTCGTACCTTTGCTGCTGAAGATAACACAATTATTGTCTAATAAAATAGAGAAACCATAAAAGCACGAAACCAAAACCCTAGTTGCCTAAACGCATTGCAGGGGAACGAAAGGTAAAGTAAGTGAGGAGACTTACAGGACTGAATGCTTGACCGGCTGCTGCCACGAAAGGATCAAAAGGCCCACAAAAAAAGGGGAGTGGACAATTGAAAACCCTAATTTGACAACACAAAAACCACCATTAGAGAAAGCATCAGCATCTATGAAGAAGCAAACCCAGAAAACAGATGACAAAGCTAAATCTGAATAGAGCTTCTCCCAATTGGAAGAAAGAGACCCAGCGCTGGGGTCGGTGTCGTTGTTTCCTCAAAACAACCAAAACAAAAAACCGAAAAAGAAAAAGAGAGAGAGAGAGAGAGAGAGAGAGAGAGAGAGAGAGAGTATGTAAAAACAAGCAAAAGTCTTTTTTCGTTAATTTCTCTTTTGATTTGGGGAATTTGAGCGTTTTCTCAGAATTGGGATTTTTAGGGTTCCTCCCTATCTATTTTGCTTGTCTAGTTTTCTTCCTTCTTTCTGTTTGAGACGACGAGACGGAAGTGGGTTTCTTCTAAAAATACGATATGTTTTGTTATTGGTTTCCCGGAAATACCCTTCCCACGTGTCTAAGCTCGGGGATCTGATTGGATAGGTTATGAGGCTCAGGCCCATTAGGCCCGTCAAGAGAGTAAAAGGCCTCGCCCGATCTTTTTTCTAAGAATCCTAGAGATCACGTGATCGTGACCGTTCATCATAAATCGTGCGGTTAGTTTCGATGAACGGTCATGATCACAGAATTCCTAGAATCCCTATAAAAAGGATTCTGCGAAGATCCTTTTCCGTCAAGAGAAGATGGAGAGACATTTTGGTGGGGACTAACCAATTTAGGGCGGACGATTAAACTTATTGACACACTTATGAATACAAATAAGTTATACTCAGCATACATTGGTATTATATGATAGAGTCACCATTCCTCCTTAGTATAGATAATATCATTTGTTAAAGAAGAAAAAACATGCAATGATAGAGCGCACAACTATTAGCAACCATTTCGGTTTTGTTTTACAGTTATCTTTGTCTTGAATGACGACTGGGTATCTTTGTCTTGAGTGGAGAAGGTAGAGATGATCACTTGGATCATCATTCTTGTATGTTTGAGGCTTGGATGCCTCGAATGTATCTGAGAACTGCTCGTCGCTGATTGCCATGGATTATGAAGGTGAAAGGTGTGACGTCTAGGGTTTCGTTTTGGTTCCCAGGATGGAAAAGCCCTAAAGCTCACGGTACCATGTAAGAAATACTTGGTTTTCATTGTATAATTTCATCAGTCTGAAGGCTTGGTTTTGTACAATACTAGCACTATGTGGCCTCATTTGGCATATCGTATAAAGCACTGGATAGTGCTAATAATACGGAGTACGGTGTTTGATGTCCGTTTGTATTAAATAGTCACCGGATTAAATAATCCGGCCCACCTATTTTATCCAGTGAATGCTCGCTTCCTTATACTCTCCAAAAGCACAGGACAATTTAGTCGGCACTCTTTCCCTCCCTCCGTTCTTCCCCTCCCTCTATTCTTCTTCCCAGCCATTCTCTCTGCTTACAAAAACCAACCACACTCTCTCCATTTTCCCAATCAAAACTCTCCAAAATTCCAAGCAGCTTCCAAGAAACCAAAGAATCCAACAAATCCCAAAACCCAAGTCCTCCGCCGGTCACTATAAACCACCACCATCAGCAGGTTCCATCTAACCACCCATAACAAGACTCTTCTCTCACTGCATCTTCTTCTAGCTACCGTATGATCTCCTTCCCTCTTCTTCGCCACTGCATCTCTCTTTACTTCCTCCAATGTAGACTATGTGGTTCTCTCCCTGCATCTTCTGGCTACTGCAGGATCTCTCTCCCTCTTCTCCGCCATTGCATCTCTCTTCACCGCTGCATCTCTCTCTACTTCCCCAAACGCAGACTCTTCGGCCCTCCATTTTGGATCTCAACAAACAAAGAAATAAAGATTTGTCAATTTTTTTCCTTCCCTTTTCTTATTTGGTTTAGTACCAAACACAGTATAAATAATACGGTCATTAGTCTTATAATGCACCAAACACCCAACTAATTTAGTCAGTACTATCCGGTGGCTATTTATCTTATCCGGCAGAAATAGTCAGTACAGTCCGAGCTACCAAAAGAGGCATGTGTGTGTTTAAACACACATCGTATTATTTATACTGTGTTTGGTATTATACCGGATATTTATACTGTGTTTGGTATTATACCGGATAAGAGGAATTCAAAGTATTAATACTTTTAAGATAAAAATTGATGATTAATGGAAAAAAAAAAAATTACACATTCACGACAACCAAATGTATCAAATTAAAAAAAAATGTTTTATTTAACTTCCAATTATGTCTTCTAATTATGTCTTTTAATTTAACTTCCAATTTAACACTGTCAAATGTTTAATAAGATTAAATAAATAAAATTTAAAAGTTAAAAAATTAAAACCACCATCCACTCAATTTCTTCTTCTTTTTGTTGAAGATTAATTCATTATATTTGTTTTATAAAATTCATTCTAATAATTCTGAAACTTCATCTTCTTTGCCTGCAACCTCCATTCTTCAAAATTTTTATCATCAATTGAAACTAGCCACTGGCTTCATGACTTTTACAGTCTGATTTGAACCGCTTTCCTCACCGTCAAACCCCAATCCCATTAGTGGTGCGCTCTTAAAATCCCCCAACAGTGTCATCGTCAGAGCCTCCATAGTCAAATCAATGACGAGATCTCTGGCCCCGCCGCAACCCCCAAACTCTCTCCCTCTCTCTCCCTTGTTTTTCTTCCCTGACTGATTTCCAACTTCGAAGCTCTGCAATTAACACCCACGGGCTCAGAGCCTTCGATGTGCGACGGCTATGCCTTGAGGCTCTTGTAGCAGAGGAAGACGCAGCGGCCATAAGCATTGACGGTGCCGGCAAGAACGACGACGGCAAAAGGGACGACGGTGAAAGGAGGTGTTGTGGAGAACGAAGTGCGTGAGAGAGAGGAAGGGAACCGGACTAATAATCCTATTCTTTTGGAAGGGTTTATTATGTTGGTGTATACCCTACTAAATAGGCAGACTGACTAAATTAGTCTGGCGACTATTTAATACAGGAGGACACCAAACAACCGGGTCCGTATTATTAGTCATATCTGATCTCTTATATGACCCACCAAACGAGGCCTCTGTGTGTGTTATCTATGCTGGATAACAACCACACACAATGTGTGTGTTTAAATATATGGCAATTTAAAAAAGAAATTGGAATTAAAATAGAGCTTTAATTGAATAAAAATTAAAATAAAAAGGGGAAAAGTAGGAAATGGGAAAAAGAAGGTGGATGAGTAAAATTATGGTTATATGTGGGTGAGAAAAGAAAAAAACAGCAAAAATAAAAAGAGAATTTTTAAAAGGTTTTGAAATCATGGTGTAGTCAAATTAGGACTTAAGAGGATTTTAAAGAATACATTCAAATCTAGAGGTAGTAAATTAGAAGTTTAAAGACTACAACCAAATCTAGGTGTAATGAGAATGCCAAAGATTTGCTAGGATTTTAATGAGTGAGGGATTTTGATACAAAATGAAGAATCAAACCCTACCCCCTTTGATTTATTTTCACGCCCCATAAGCTCAATCAGAAGAGAATCTGCCAACCACTTAGTCTTCATCTATACCTTCCTTATCTTCATAGTATAACATGTGAACCTCTTTGTCTTTACATTGTTCTTTGTTGCCTGTAAAGACCATTTCGATTTGTGTTCTTGTGTTGAATCAGTTTGTTAATTTTGAGATTCTTTGGTTAATTTGGAAAATGAGATCAAATCATTCCTGAGTTTCTTGTTTTTGTTATGCAATTGGATGATTTAAGTGTGATTGTTAATTTTTGAATTTGTGTTTAATCTTAGGGTGTAGTCAAATTAAGATTTGATAGGATTTTAATATATTTTAAAAGTAGGGTGTAGACAGTTAGGATTTAAAAAGAGGATTTTAATAGGTTTTGAAGTCATGGTGTATTCAAATAAGAATTTAAAAAGATTTTAAAGAATACATCCAAATCCAATGCTAATCAATTAGAATTTTAAAGAATACAACCAAAACTAGTTATAGTAAAAATGCCAAAGATTTACTAGGATTTTACTGAGTGATGGATTTTGATGGATTTGAAGGTGAGTGGTATAAATACCAAATGCCATCAAGAATCCAACCCTCCCCCTTATTCCTTTTTAGCCCCTTAAGCTCAAACGGAAGAGAACGTGCCAACCTCTTCGTCTTTATCTATACCTTCCTTTTCTTTAGAGTAGAACCTGTCAACATCTTTTGTCTTTGGATTGTTCTTGATTGCCTATAAATACCATTTCGATCTGTGTTCTTCTATTGGTTTGTTAATTTTGAGATTCTTTGGTTAATTTGGAGAATTGGGATCTAATCATTTGTACGTTTTTTGTTTTTGTTCTGCAATTGGATGATATTGGTGTGATCTTTAAATTTTGAATTTGTGTTTAATCTTAATGGACGATTCTGATTGTCGTCGTCGTTGTTGAGTGGTAAGAATAATGGGTCGCTTTTATTTTGTTTGATTGATGATCTTTAGGGTTCACCACCCCCTCATCCATCCCCTCGACCCACCCAGTGCAACTCTAACAATGGTACAATCCCAATTGAATTCTATCCCTGTACAATTTCAATCCAATAAAAGTTGTAGAATTTCCAAAAAAAAATTGGAAGCAAGGAACCTGTATATTAAAAAATACATAATTATGGCCTCCTATAATTTGCACATTTGATTCATACAAAAGATTTGACTGGGTTCGCTTCATTTTTTTTTTTTAATTTTGTGGGCTGACCAAGTATAATTTTATGATTGACTGAGTTTGGAGTGGTTGGTCGCAGGTGGATGTGGGTTTAAAGGAGGGAAGATTCAGATGACAAGGAAGATAAAGAGCAAGAGCTGCCAAACTGTTGCTGGAACAGAGAGATATCTAAACTACATATTAATGGAACTCCATTTGTCAACAAAAAAACTAATGAAATTACAAATATAACCTTTAATACATAACTGAAAAGAAAAAAAAATAGGGGTGTGCTATCCACACATTTTTTTTACTTTTCACACACCCTTTTTAATTTCTGTCCATTGATCTTCTTCACTTCATCCGATCCAACGGCCAAAAATTAAAAGAGTGTGTGAGAAGTAAAAAGAGATGTGTGGATATCACACCCCAAAAAATATTACACAAGAAAAAAAATGTGGGCATTAAAGTAATTTCGCACAAATAAGTTTTTATTGTTTTTTTCTAAACCTCACACCATGTCAATCTATCACTACGATTTAAACTCTCTCTCTCTCTCTCTCTCTCTCTCTTTTTCTCTCTCTCTCTCTCTCCCCTTAACTGCCAACCTCTTTTTTCGGATGACTGCCAACCCAGTTAAAAATAGATAACTCCTTCCCATAAAAAAATTAAAAAACAATATTTGAGAAAAATAAAAATTATATTTCTCACACA